TTAACTCTGATTCAGATTCTGACAGTGAAGGAAAAACACCTTAAAACGCAAAGAGGGCGAGAGTTCAGTCCTTCAGTACCTCCAATTCCTCCATGCTCCTCGTTAGAAACACATGTCGTTTAACACCTTCCACGAACTCTTAGCCTTCTGAAGTGCGAACATGTCAAACAGGCTAGCGACAGTTGCACAATTACTAGCTGAGACGATGAGTAGAACCGACTTCTCCTTTTTTCACGGTTCGGATGTTTCCATCCCTTACCGAGTTGACGTCAAGGAACATTTAAGTTTGATGTTCACTTGGTGTGAACGATTCTTCACATCTGTAGATCCCTAACATCATAGCAGACACTTAGGTAATTGCAGCAAAAAGGTAGGACTTTTCCATTGCCTGTGAGCTTTGAAATACAGTGTTTCAAAGGGCTTAGCTTTTTATGAAGTTACTCAATTAAAGGCTTGTAAGCACGTCTAATGGCCTCCACCTAATGTCTTGTATTTATGTATATGTCTTTGAAACGAGTCTTTGAAACGAAATACATGTTTTGCTTCAATCACACGTACGTACGCTTAAGTGGCGTGCTGTGAAGTAGGCTTCATCTGCTACTTTGGATTTGGAATAAATTGGCTGCAATATTGCTTATATGTCAAATGTCGTGCTATATCTTTGATGTCGTGTCAGTACCTATTAAGAATGCACGCCTCTGTACGTGCGGAATGTTGTGCTGTATATTACATGAAACATCGAGCACGCTACAGAATGTTGACAAGACCGTAGACTGACAGGTTAAATGTTCATATGCCGGATACTTGTTGATCTGCAAGCACTGGTACTACTGTAAAGTTTTCCAACATTTCTCATTTCAAACGGTGCAAAACGAGTAGAATTGACTTCTCCTTTCTTCAAGGTTCGCATGTTTCCACCTCTCAGCGTGTTGACGTCAAATAACGTTTAAGTTTGATGTTCACTTGTAGTGAACGATTATTCACATCTGTAGCCACAAACATCACAATAGGGCACCTAGGTACAGAAAAAAAAGGCAAGACTTTTCCACTGCCTGTAAGCTTTAAGATACAGTATTTCAAATGGCTTAGATTTTACGAAGTTGCCAAAAACTTGTAAGCATGTCTGTGCTTTCGTATCTAATGGCCTCCGCCTAATGATACATGTTTTTACCTTCGCCAAGAAGGTTATGTTTTCAGGGGCGTTCGTGTATGTGTGTGTGTGTGTGTGTGTGTGTGTCTGTCTGTCAACACGATAACTTGAGAAGGTCTTGATAATGATGGATTGTCTTGATACTTGGTAGGTGGGTAGGTCTTGATGAGACCTCAAAATGATTAGATTTTGGGCCACCTGGCGGCTTGTTATGGTACTGCAGCTGAACTTCCGGTTTTGATATCTCGTTATCTAGACATGCTAGGGTGACGAAATTTAGATGGTAGATAGCTCTTGTGCTGGGGATGAAGTGACATGAGTTTGAGCCTCCTAGTTGCTTGCTCTAGAACTGCAGGGGGGTTCAATGGACAAATGTTTAAAGGGGGATAACTCAAGAACCGATTGATGGATCATCGTGATTTTTGGTATGTAGGTAGCTTGAGTGATGCTTGACATAATGATATTACAATTATGCAAATATGGATGTAATTTGCATAATTAATTAGGAAATTCTATTTATCAGCTGCATTCCATAATAGGAAGTTCAAGCTTGTGACATATGTTATTAAGAATGATACAGGCAGATATCGATTATGCAAATGAAGACTTAATTTGCATAATTAATGAGAAAATATTATAATTGCATAGTGGTAACTGCCTGGAATTTTATACTTGGGGTGTTTGAAAGTTAAGTTAAGGTGAACATAATTAAACATAACTTATTCAAATAAGGACCTCATTTGCATAATTTATGAGAAAATTTCATCATGGCATTCTTTGTTAAGATAAGACTGTCTTTTGGTGGAGAATATGATCAACAGATATAATTCATGCAATTGAGGATCCTATTTGCATAATTAGGGGATTAATATATAATTTCTTAATCATAAAAGCTAACATCATTTGGCGAAGGTATGAGATCGTGGAACTCTAGTTTGTAGTAGTAAAACGACAAGAAGCATTTCACAGTCCGCCGAATGAATTACATACTCCTTTACATATACTTAAAATCACAATTCTTAATTAGGCCACACCAATTTAATTTCTTGGTTAACGGATTTTTCTACAAAAATAATGGAGCGGGCGGGCGAAAAAAAAAATAAAAATAAAAACAGGCCTAGGCATCCTATTATGGCCCAAAATGGTACGATAGGAGCCATGAAGTCAACACACCACGCTGGTTCAAAATTTTGACAATGGATTTTGAACTTTTAATGATACCATTGCATGGAATGACTTTAACAAGAAGTATGAAAAGGACTGTTTCCAACTGTTCAGGGCAAAATATGAGCATTCTGCAGTTGATTCTGAATTTCTATTTTTATTTGCAAATCAGAAAAAAATGAAGCGGCGAATCCGTTAACCAAGAAATTAAATTGGTGTGGCCTAATAGATCTTTTATACACACTCACTCACTCACACACTCATACAAATTTAAAATGAAGTTGATTCTAGAAAGAGCGATTAATGTCAGACAACAGACAATTTTGGGCACCCCTAAATATTATACAGAGATGTAACAAGCAGATACAACATGATTTTTGTTTATTTATTTTCATATTACAAAATTCATGTTTTTTTGTTACACTAAATTTTGTGATAGAAGGGGAAAGGTGCATTTTGCTGCATTTAAAGTTTGCAGTTGAAACAATTCTGTAGTAAAGTAATAATACATTGGAAATACTTTCACAGAGGAGAGGTCACTAGAAAAAAGGCCATTGCGAACATTAAAAATCTACAGTATTAGCAACTAGTATCAGCCACTAAATTTCACCTTTTTCAACTGACACATTCAAAGTAAACTGCACTGTACTAGTTTCATCGCCTGTTTTATTTATCAACAGGCAAATAAAGGACCGAATGTTCTAGGAGCCTGTGCCACCAGCCTTTATTTTGGTTGGGCATACCTTAATCTGTTGCCATAACCAAGGGTCACAGCATCTCTATGGCAGGACGCGGGTGTTGGGAGTTTCAGGTTTCCACCTGGTGAAAGAGCCACCTAGCGGTTTAGGATATACTGTTTCAGAGGTAGAGGATATACTCTTACATTTACTCATTTATCTTGCTCTTAGCGAAGGTGAAGGACTGCCAGTGAAGCGTGTCGATGTTGTGTTCGACAGAGCCACTTGTTCCCGGTGATTTAAGTAATGAAATCAAGCTGTCTGGGCGTTGATAGCTTTTTGGGGGAAAGGGCCAATCAGCTTGAGCGTACTATAGCATACTAGCCCCCACCAGGCCTTTCTAAGGGAATACGGATCGTAGAATTTGGCAAAAAAAAAAGAGAATAGAATTGGTTAAGGGAGTCTGGCCGAGGGGAGGTAGTTTTTTTCCTTCCGAAGGAAACCTACAAGGCGGCCAGACCTCCCTGGCAATTATTCCCCTATATATAGCCATCGTATTTAGTCTGGTAGAGACTAGGGAACGGCTGCGTACATTAATAGGGTTTGCGCACTTTAATCGGGATGCGTACTTTATTCGGGAATTAAAGGTATTTGGGAAAGATGGTTGTGAAGTATTTCTGATTTGACAATTCACAATTCCTTAAGAACACCTTTACTGTCAGTGACCAGCTGGCTTTAACTGAACAGGACAAGGCTCAGTCCCTGAGAGTTACTGACAAATTCTACACTCAGGACAAATATGTCCAGTCAGCTCTGGGTGAGGTGTGGTAGACTAATGAGTAGATTAAGAACCGCTGACGGTGTGACGTAACTTTTAATATTCATCATAAGGCCACACCAATCTAATTTCTTGGTTAACGGATTCGCCCGCTTCATTTTTTTCTGATTTGCAAATAAAAATAGAAATCCATAATCAACTGCAAAATGCTCATATTTTGCCCTGAACAGTTGAAAACAGTCCTTTTCTTCCTAGTTGTTACATTTATTCCATCTTTCAATGCAGTGGTATCATTAAAAGTTCAAAATTCATTGTTTAAATTTTGGACCAGCCTTGTGCCAATTGTGTTGACTTCATGGCTCCTATAGGACCATTTTGGGCCATAATAGGATGCCTAGGCCTGTTTTTTTTTCGCTCGCCCGCCCGCTCCATTATTTTCTAGAAAAATCTGTTAACCAAGAAATTAAATTGGTGTGGCATAAGCACTGCCTGTAACCATTCAAGGACATCCCGTGGTCCAATAGCTGTTCGCCAACTCACTGAGCTGATTTTACAATGTAAAAAAATGCTAATTGATTATCATTTCTTTGAAAACTTGTTTATGCAGCCACCATATTGCAAAATGAATGAATAGTAAATACAACGCATAATGGTATTCAAGTGATTGCAAAGTCTGTAACAAGAATATTTTTTTTAACTTTGTGGAACGTTTTTTTTTTACTTAATAAATATTTCAAGGTTTTGAGAGGCCTTTAGTTTCAACGTAATTATTATAATTATTCCAGGTATCAAAAATGTCTTTGAATAGAAACAGTGTAATTGTTGAAGTTCCGAATGCCTGTTCTATCCTTTATTACTCCTTAGTGTTGCCTCTAAAAGCAGGCTTCGGGAGGCGGCTGGAAATAACAGGTAGAACCGCACTGTACTCTCTAACTAGCCTCTACCAGGCTTCGGGAGGCGGCTGGAAATAAAAGGTAGAACCGCACTGTACTCTCTAACTAGCCTCTACCAGGCTTCGGGAGGCAGCTGGAAAGAGTAGAAATCGGTCAAATAGAGAGATAACATGCCACGGGACCGTTAAACTGTTCCATCCAGCCGACCAAGCTCCCTTGGCATGCTATCTCTCTATTTGGCTGATTTCTACTCTTTGCAGCCACCTCCCGAAGCCTGGTAAAGGCTACTCTCTGGCGGACCAACTCCCCCAGCATGCTATCTCTCTATCTGGCCAATTTCTACTCTTTCTAGCCGCCTCCGGAAGCCTGGTAGAGGCTGTACTGCTGTTAGTGTAATGTTCTAGGGCTGTTCACAATGAATATTAAGTTACTTCATTACACAAGAAAAATGACATCAAACAGCTTTATTTCCAACATAAACAGTCATGAAATATGCTACCTGTTGACGCCTATCCCGCGCCAATCGCGACACTTCAACTCCAATTTACTCTTACAAGCCACTATCATTTCATACAGACTGTTACAAATATTCATATTTTCCACAAACTGTCAGAGACTGGAACAATTTGCCTCAAGAAATAACAGATACTGCGGAACCCACGACGTTCAACGCTGCAGTACTACAACACCTGAGGACGCAGCAATAGCGCATCGCACAGCTCCCCTGCACGCTTTACCCCAATCTAGGGGTGTTGTGCAGTACCCAAACAAGAAGAAGAACCTAGTCACTTGTAGAATTTCAAAATAACAGCTATACATGTATATTGTTATAAAAGATAACATTAACAACCTGGATTTAACTCTATCCAATACTTCAACTGTCACAACCATTCTTCACTAACTACACTTAGCTTATAATAATATATATAACCACAAATACAGCTAATAATAAAAACAGTTATACTAGTAGTTTGAAAAATACTTAACTGAATACATGTATAAGAAACAGAACTATGAAACATAAGTAGACTAAGAAAAAATCCAAGTAACGGGATCCATACATGTACAAGCAGTTACTGAGTATTGCCAAAAAAGAACTCTCTTGATCCTAACTAGAAAAAAAAAACATATGAAACATAAATAGTTTAAAAACAAGAAAAATCTGAGATCAAAGTAAAATCTGAGATTTTATACCTCTGGGATTTTATTGTATATTTTTATATAGGGTTTTAAACAAAGAATTTATCAAGACCGGACACCCCTCTGTGTGAGGGGTCATATACGTGGACCAGACCGAGAATAGCTTAAACACGCCAAAGGTCAACGGTCGTGACTGCTTTCTCGCTCAAAGGGGTGTTTTGGGGGCACCAAAAGGCACCATTTTCATGCCCGAAAACACATATACAATAAAAACAAAAGAACTTGCATCATCTGCAGCCCAAGGGCAAAACATATACCGAGTCTCAAAAGAATCCGTCCACCCAAATGCGAGAAACAGCTGCGAACATGAAAATCTAAATCACAAAACCCTTCCGCGGAAGGATGTCTCCTCCCCCGGAGGTAAAAAAGACTTACAACAGGCCACAGACAAGCAGTTAACTTATAGCCACAGAAACTTTCTTGATCATGGGTACAAAGTTCTATCAAACCTACATGTAACATGTCAGATTTGTTACCATGCCATTTGTTGGCAATAAACTAAGAAATAAAAAGCTCTGTTAGCAATGTTTCAATTTCGCCTCAGTTCTATACTGTTAGTAGAGTGCTCGTTTTGTAACCGGGAGGTCGTGAGTTCATACCCCGGCCGGGTCATACCAAAGACTTTAAAAATGGTACACACTTCTTTCTCTGCTTAGCACTCAGCACAAATGAGAAAGAGTGTGGGAAGGTCAAACACACAGTACTACCAGCGGACTGTTTGTGTCGCCCAAGGGCTATTGAAATGGATATGGGCACCACCCTACGCTCGGCATAAGGGCACGGCAGACCTTTCTTTCTTTCTTTCTTTCTATCACAAGTAATTTTTCAGAAGAGAAACGATTTAAGAAACAATAAAATACAGAATGCTACATTAACTTCTCTCTCCTATTGTAATATAACAAACCATGTTAACTGGTAAAACTATATACTTTCAGAATACTACTTTTTCCTTTCTCCATACTTTCATGCTTTAGATAGGTTACTGTGCAAAACATTGTTTCACATTTCCTTTAAGATGACTCGTCACATTTTTAAGAATCATGCCTAGTGTGAGTCCGTTTGTGGGTCTTCAGACTGCAAAGATGACTGAACTGTTTACTGCACTCCTCACACCTGTAGGGTTTCTCACCAGTGTGAGTCCGCATGTGTGACTTCAGACTACCCTGCTCACTGAACTGCCTGCTGCACTCCTCACACTCGTAGGGTTTCTCTCCTGTGTGAGTCCGCATGTGGATCTTCAGATGACCCAGCTGCTTGAAATGTTTGCCACACTCCTCACACTTGTAGGGTTTCTCCCCAGTGTGTATCCGCATGTGGTTCTTCAGACTACCCTGCTCACTGAACTGCCTGCCGCACTCCTCACACCTGTAGGGTTTCTCTCCTGTGTGAGTCCGTACGTGTTTCTTCAAAGCACATTGATCAGTGAATTGCTTGCTACACTCCTCACAACTGAAGGGTTTCTCACCTGTATGAGTTCGCATGTGTCTCTTCAGTTGACCAAGGTTTCTGAACTGTTTGCCACACTCCTCACACCTGTAGGGTTTCTCACCAGTGTGAGTCCGACTGTGACTCTTCAGTTCACCTGCGGTAGTGAACTGCTTGCTGCACTCCTCACACCTGTAGGGTTTCTCCCCTGTGTGAGTCCGCATGTGTCTCTTCAGGTCACCCAGCTGACTGAACTGCTTGATGCACTCGTGACACTTGTAGGGTCTCTCTCCAGTGTGAGTCCGCGTGTGAATTCTCAGCTCACCCAGGTGACTGAACTGCTTGCTGCACTCCTCACACCTGTAGGGTTTCTCACCTGTGTGAGTTCGCATGTGAGTCTTCAGGTCACCCTGCTTACTGAACTGCTTGCTGCACTCCTCACACCTGTAGGGTTTCTCCCCTGTGTGAGTCCGCATATGAATTTTTAGATGACTCAGCTGACTGACCTGCCTGCCACACTCCTCACACCTGTAGGGTTTCTCACCAGTGTGAGTATGCATGTGAGTTTTCAGATGACACAGTAGACTGAACTGTCTGCCACACTCCTCACACTTGTAGGGTTTCTCACCAGTGTGAGTCCGCATGTGAATCTTTAGATGACTCAGCGGACTGAACTCCTTGCTGCACTTCTCACACCTGTAGCGTTTTGCAGTCGCCATGCTGCCACCAAACTCCCCTTCCAAACTGCTCTTCACGTCATTACAGCTGACTCCACTTGTTGCCATGATGGTGATAACAGCCCGAATGACTTCTGTAAAAGATCAGAGAAAACAATTGATTTGTTATAATACAGTCTTTTTACAGTACGGGGTTTGCATTTGTTGTAGGTCATTATTGAAGCACTATCAAACATGCTGTGGCAGAACCAACCACCAACGTCTAAATGTTGTAAAACACTGGAATTACAGAGTTTTCTCATTAGTTATGCAAATGAAGTCACCATCCAATAGTGTAGATCTCTGTCTCAGCTACCCACATACCAAAAATCATAAAAATACATTGTTCCTATGTGAATTTATCTGCTCTGAAAGGTTTCCACCCTGCAGTTCTAGGACAAGCTGCTAGGGAAACCAAACCCACACCACTTATTACTGACAGGAAAAGCTATGTGCAACTCAAAAATCAAGACCATAGCATGTCCAGGACAAAGATACAAATACCGGACGTTCTGCTGCAGTACCAAGGTCTGCTACCAGGAGGCCCAAAATCGACATTGACCTTTGCCTACCCAACACCTATCCACATACCAAATATCATTACAATCCATCAAAAGGTTCAAAAGTTATGCTGGCCGCAAATGCGCGGAAACACACACATCAGACAGACCCGCCAAAACAATACCTCCATTTTTCATGGAGGTAATGATTCTGTGTACCGAGTATGTGACTATGACTTACGTCTTACAATGTTGCAGTTTTTAAAACTGGTAAACACAAGACATAGTTGATCTTGCAGAGCATAAACCTCCAAAACATTAGTGAACCTCCCCTGACACGGTTGGTCCAGCAGAGCATGAAACGATGAGCATGAACAACACACCTCATGAGCATTAGTGAACAGTCCCTGACATAGTTGCAGAACTCAGAGAGAGCAGGGCATCAACAGACCCTACCAAAACATTAATGAAACGCCCCTGGCCCCTTCACAATCATACGTGATATACATGGAAACCATATGTTGGGTGGGGGTGAATAAAACCCGATTCTGAATATCTTCCCCTATGATGTATGATCTTTGCTATGAAATATTGTTACAATCGGACGAAAGAGCATCATGTTTACATCAAATTATTCGTATTCGAGAAGCACTCTATTGAGTATAGCTCTAGTCGGTATGAAACCAAGAAGGGTCAAAATTTATGTGCAAAAAGCTTCACACGCCATGATAAAATTATAAATCATATTTTCGATCTCTCAGTCTATAAACACACCACGTTATCTGGTCTACTCTGCTGTTGCAGCTTCTCCTACGTACCTGAAACGGATCTCGGATGAAAAAAATATCCTTGATGCTGAATCTGGTACCGGATTTCTCCGTAAAATAGCGCCTTGGAGCCAACAAAGCTGCGACTCACGAAGCCTTCTGACAGATTCTCGCGCTGGAGACCGCAGAACACAGGTATTCATCCGCGGTTCAAGCACTCATGGAAAGTAACAAAATAGTGCGGTTAGAGCATTACAAAATCATAGATGATTAGCAGTACATTGAGATATAGATGCAAATACAGTGTATGTCTAAAAAGTATGCAAACTGAGTTTCCTAATAGTGAAATCTTGTTTATTGTCTGGCATCTGTTGTGTCTGAGATTTCTGAAAAAAGAGGCTGCAGTACCGTTTACCACCGCATGAGGTCATGCCAAGACGGCCTCAGAAGAAGACGGTGTTTGCAAGCGAATGCATATTATTTCCCTCCAACTATTTTCCAGATAAATCCCTATGTCTAATCCCTATTTATACGGAGCTTGAATTGGGTTGGCGTAAAAAAAGGTATCAGTGCAAAAAGAAAGCCTGATTAAAAAAGCCTAAAAACATGCCAAAAACCGAACCTCTACTTGGAGACTACAATATAACAGCATTTGGAAGCCACTTAAGAACATTTCTCTCTGATAACCCTCTGCCAAATGGTCTGGTACCTGTCTCTATTTAACTATCCACCCCAAAAATGGCCAGCCTGCTATTACAAAAATTCTAGTTATTGAATATTTCTCCCAAACAGTTTAGTATACATATACAGTACTTTCTGTCATAATTTTTTGAAGTGAATTCATAATTCTGAATGATGGTCTGTATCTCAATTAGAAAAAAAATGAGTGGCCTAAAAGTACAATAACTTTTCTATGTACTTTTTCAGGCATCTTTGTTTCAAGTATAAGACACTAGGAGAGAGTAAAAACAGAAAGAACCCCTCGCCCCGGGATCAAACCCACGCCAAACCCGGGCGCCAGTCCACAACCCAGCACTCTAACCATTCGGCTAAAAGGTCTAGACCCGTCGGCCGGATCAGTTGGTAGCACCTACAAATAACCCCACTGTTACACTTGATCTGTTACTACAACAAACATTATGTTACTTAAATATACAAATGACAAATGCAAATCAAACAGTAAGATTTATTTTCAAATACAATACATACATAGTGTAGGGGGTAGGACTTGTGTCACATCTGGTGTCAATTAATAAAGGACAGCTAGGGACCTTGTGTCTCTGCTGATCAGTCTGGCCCAAGCCGTGGTCTAGTGTGGTCATCTCTATATAGCTGCATCTAGCATATATAACACTGGTGGCAGCGGTGGGATACGAACCCACGCCATCCCACCGCTGCCACCAGTGTTATATATGCTAGATGCAGCTATATAGAGATGACCACACCATGTCTATAAACAGGAAGTATTAAGTACTAGTATAAAAAGGAAAGACTACAACACTACATTCTGCTTCTTTCAACAATTGTCTTGAAATATGATACCTAGTTGATTGTTGTATTACAAACTACGACTATTTCATCATAGCAGATAATAGTAATAACTTATCTTTACTTTATCCAATACTTCTCTTTTCACTACCATTCGGAACTCTCTGCCCAAATATAAACAATATGGATAAGTATGATAAGTAGAAGAAAAATTCTAACAGGATCCATACAGTTTCCAGGATTTGCTAAGAATTGTCTTGATCCTAGGTAGGAAGAACTAACAAACAGTTGAAAAGCTATGCTACAAAAACGTCAGGCTAAGAAAAAGCTCCATCTTTTAATACCTATTGGGAGCTTTACCTATTGTCGGAAAAGTTACTTTGTTATCTCCAGAACTGAATTTTAACAAGAAAAATGACAATAGCAACAAAATACAACAACAGCAACCTACTACCAACATTCTCCTATTGATAGGTTATCAACTTTTGTTAGCGGTAACAACACTTTCATCAGAATACTGAAGTTTCCTTACAATGTGCTTTCGTGCTTCCAATAGGTCACTGCAAAACAATGTTTCAACTTCCTTTTGACTTTTGTGATGGCCTGCAACACATTTTTAAGAATCATGCCCAGTGTGAGTCTGCATGTGGGTCTTCAGATTACTGAGATGACTGAACTGCCTGCTACACTCCTCACACCTGTAGGGTTTCTCATCGGTGTGAGTCCGCATGTGAGTCTTTAGATGACCCAGATGACTGAACTGCTTGCTGCACTCCTCACACCTGTATGGTTTCTCCCCTGTGTGAGTCCTCATGTGCCTCTTCAGATGACCCAGCTGACTGAACTGCTTGCCGCACTCCTCACACCTGTAGGGTTTCTCTCCTGTGTGAGTATGGCTGTGTCTCTTCAGATTACCCAGATGACTGAACTGCTTCCTGCACTCCTCACACCTGTAGCGTTTTGCAGTCGCCATGTTGCCACCAAACTCCCCTTCCAAACTACTCTCCACGTCATCAGAGCCAATCCCCCTTGTTGCCATGATGGTGAGAAAACCCAAATAACTGTAAAAGATCAGATGAAAGAATTTTTCAGAGAAAAGAATACAGCTTTTATTTATGGCAAAGCTGCATGATCACATTTGTCATAGGTTTATTTTACGATTTTGATTTACAAGTAGGCTGTGACAGAACAAACTGTTGACAACTATCTACATGTATGACAGCCTTTGTTGGTCCCATCAAGGCTGAAGTTTGTACAACACCTGTACAACTGAGCCAAGAATGTCCTGTTTCCATTCACACGGTGTCTGCTACTAGGCCCTTAGTCATGATCAGCCTACAGTGAGGTCATGGGGGTGGAGGGTGGCCAGAGTCAAAGTACATGGTTGCAGTTCTTATTGCCAGTACACTGATGTAAGTATATCAGGCCTGCAAAACATAAGCGAACCTACCCTGACACAATTGGTTGAGCATTAGTGAACTTCCCCTGACACAGTTGGTTGAGCATTAGTGAACTTCCCCTGACACAGTTGGGATAGCAGCGCATTTAATACATTACCTGGCCTACAAATAAAACATAAGTGAACCTCCTTTGACACGGTTGGAATAGCATATAGCATCAAGTAAGGGGTCTGAATACATCAGTAATATCCCTGAGGCCACACCAAGTAAATTTTATGGATGACGTCCGCGCGCGCATTGATTTTGGCCTGTTCCTAGAAAAAAAAACAAGAAATTCTGCGTCCTGTAACTATGACCAAAGAGTCACTACAGTGCCTCAAATCCTCAGGTTGACGTGAAACCCGTAACGCGAAAACAGGACAGGACGACAACTGCTGTTCCACCTGATTTATTGCTGTTTTGATGATGAATAAAAGACTTCTTGCTTGTTACACTGTGTCACCTCATTCAATTTGTGTCCTAACATTTGTCATCTCTTAGTATATTTCTAATCTAGGCATCTTGTTTTTTAGGGCCTTTCTTGTTTTTTTTTCGCCCTCTCGCATTAGATTTAGGGTCTCCAAAGGACGTCATCCATAAAATTTACTTGGTGTGGCCTGACACAGCTGGTCTAGAAGTGCATCAAATCGTGGGACTGGAAAACATTAGTGTACCGCGACCATAAATTGTGGGACATTCATTTTTTAGTGAACAGCCTCTGACAATTTGTCTAGCAGAGTATCAAATACTAG